GCAGCTGATTTTTTGCTGCCTTCACCAGTAGGCTCCTCCCAGGAATCTTTTTTTAAATTATTAAGAGACTAAAATTGGTTCCATTTCTCCTGCAACATTCAAATTAATTCTTATACATTGATTTAGACCTAATCTTTAATTAGACCTGATTTGAACTATTAAATGTACAAAAAAAACAAAAACAAATGAATTGTCCCAGCTTGAGTCACTCATATTTGAATTGATTAATCAATTCAATGAATCAAATATTGGCAAAAGCCTAGCAGATTTTCACAACAAGGGAAAATATGTTTATCTTTTTTCCAAGAGACTTATGTTTTTAATAGAAACAAATACAGTAGTGTACAGCACGATGAAAGCTGCAACTTAAAGCAAATTTTTTTTTAAATGCCAATCTTTCATTTTTGAATTTATTCAATTAGAGTGACCGCAGTGGAATCCTGCACTGAGAAGGGGTTGGGCTAGATGACCTCCAAGATCCCCTACCCACCCTTACATTCTATGATTTTGGAGCTTCATGTTGATGAGCTGTGTTGCTTTATATAGAAGTACTTGAACTGCCCTGAGGTTTATGAATAACTATTAATCTATAACATTTGTAATAAATAAATACAACTTCTCCCATTGTTTCTCAGATGAAGTATTTAAAATAACATTTGAATGCCTTTTGCCTATTGGTCTCCCCCTCTCTGTGCTTAATCTTGAAAACTGAAAACCTAAAAGGGTTTTCTTTTGTGACACAGAAAAAACTCACTATCCAAAGTAGCTGGCAAGGCAGAAACTTCATTGCCACGTTGGCGATTTGTCAAGGTGTTGGAACGGTTCAGGATGCCCCCATCTGCATTTTGAGAAATGAAAGAAAGAGAAAATTGAATCTTTAGCTCATCAAATTCACCACAATTAGCGAGATTCAATTGGCTTGCTAATTTGTAGCCATGCTTTAGAAGCCAAGTTGAGTTCCACCAAGATAACATCCAAGTCAGGAGTTGTCAGAGTTCCAAGTAATATACCCATACCAGCGGTGGGTTTCAAAATTCCAAAATTTTGGAACCTCTTCTGTAGGTGTGGCCTGCTTTCCGGGTCCACTGGTGGAACCTCTTCAAACCGGTTTGGTAGATTTGACGAACCAGTTCTATCGAACCGGTGCGAACCGGTAGGAACCCACCTCTGACCCATACCAAGCAAAACTCCAAGGCAGATGAATTCCTCAAAGAATCGCTTTATTGGATATAATACTGGCACGAATCTGGTGAAAACCGACTCTGAAGGTTCCTGCGGTTTTCACCTAATTAAAAGTTTTTCCCTCAATCCCAAAACAATCAGTCACATGGTCCAATCAAGGCGCTGTGTGGTGGCCTGGTGAACATCACTCCTCCTTCCTCTGGCCAAGTGTGAATGTCCTTGGTTCCCAAGCAAAAGTGTTTTGTTTTGACTGCACAGCCCCAGCTATCTCTATTCACCCCCGTCCTCCCTATCCCTCAGCTCGTGTATGGCAGCACTGAAGCTCCAAGATGGCTTCACCCAGGCAGGTGGGTTAACTTTGTCCATCAGCCTAGAGACTGAGTTATGTAAATTGGTGACCACGCCTCCTCTGACTGGATGGGTCAGTTTTGTACGAAGTCAGCCAGTTAATGATGTATAACAATGTCAAATGATGGCCGTAGCCCAATAGGTGTACAGTCACGTCAGAAACACAAGTCACAAGACAGGTAAAAGTCAGTCATAGTCAATGTCAAAAGTCAGTGAAGAGTCAGTCAAAATCAAATGTCATGACAGCCCTGGCCAGCCGAAGCTGCGGGCGGGTTTGGATTCCCCTCGCAGCACACATAGAAGGACCATTCAGGTAAGACAACGGTCGTTCTCCTGTGTGCTGCTTGGGGAATCCAAGCATGGGACATGCCAAAGCAATTAAGATTCAGGGCGGCAGCCAGGCTGGCCAGGGTCCCCTGCGGAGGGGAGCACCTGTTGCAATACTCGCCGCCCAAAGGAAGCCTCGGCCGAGGCATACACGTCAACCTTGTAATGTCAGATGAACGGCGATGGCAAAGACCAGGTAGCCGCTCTACAGATTTCTTCCACCGAGGCTTGCGTGGCCCAGGCCGCCGTGG